TTAAAGTATACGATGGAAAGTATATATATATATATATATATATATAATTATAACTTAATATATATATATATATATATATATTAAATAATAATAATTAAATATATTAAATTGATTTGATGTTTATGACGGCACAATTTCCAATGATTCCACACCCCTACTAAGGGGATGCCATTAGCACTCCCCATTTGGATTAGAAGGGTACCTGCATAATGCAACAAGATACATTTTGATTTTAGTGTTTCATTTTATTTTGTTTTCGTCAATATTATAATACGATCTTATGGGGTACTGAAAAACGATAATGTTTTTATTTTTTGGACAAAATATAAATTTGAATGTATCATAAAATTAGTTACACTAATTCAAATATGAAGTTTTAATAAGTTGTACATACGCACAATTTACTTGTAATATTGAATCTTAAGTAATATGCATCAATAAACAGTAGTTCATGCATAAAAAATAGTTTTTAAGAGTTTTTATCAAATGTTTTATAATATAGTATAGATTAATACGGTTGCATCTTTCACAAACCTAAATTTTTTTATCCTTCAACAGAGGAATAATACCGTAGCACGTGTCACCGTATGCGTCACTATAGATCCGTCCCTGGGGTACCAAGTCACGTTACCTTACAAGATGAATATGACAAAGACCAAGAATTTTCCCCGGTAAGAGCAAAGGCAAAGACCAAGAGTCTTAAGGGCCGTTTATCAAACGCTTATACGGGTAAGCGTTTACCAAGTCACAGTACCTTATCGGATGAATATGGTAAGGACCAACAATCTTACCCGGTAAGATCGAAACAAGGACCAACAGTCTTACCCGGTAAGTGAAAGCAACGACTCTTACCATGGTAAATGTTTACTGAATAAATTGTTGCATACGATGCCGTTTTGATAGACTTTAAATCTTACCCGGTAAGCAAATGATAGTATTAAATTTTACCCATAAACACTTATCGGGTAAATGTTTCGTAAAAAAGTATATAGTTCCACTAAGCACGAATTAATTGTAAAATATACACCCATGTTGTGAAGAAATGGTCATGAGCTCCGTGCCCTGCCACCTCGCGCATCACATAGACTCCTACTACACACAAACTTATAATTTTCTACCAAACCATCCTCAATCATTATATCCCGATACATATTAGATAAGAGAAAAATTGTAAAAATTAGAAACAATCTGATAACTACTCATTTATACAGTATATATATATATATATATATATATATATAAGTAATTTGTCAGGTATATATATATGTATAATATGACCATGTGTATACAAATCAATAAATATCTTTAATTACTTGTATGTACGTGTGCATGTTATGAAACCAAAAAATATCTTCAATTACTTGTATGAAGTTAATTATACGAATTCAAATATAGAGCTTTAATAAGTTATACTTATGCATAATTTACTTATAATCTTAAATTTTATGTAATATACATCAATAAACAATACTTCATGTATGAAAAATGGTCTTTAATAAGTTATTATCAAATGTTTTAGTTAACTTTTAGTTAATATTAAATGGGCGACTTACCATCATTTTTTTAGGTCACTATTGAATTCAAAAAAAACATTTGGTGTAAAAAAAATAATGATAGGTTTGAATTTAGGAGAAATGTCATTATCAATGATGTGTAATTAATATAATTAAAGTAGGTTTTTGTGATATCAATGAGGTTGTCATGGTTGGGGGGCGGGTCATCATTCTCAAATTGGAGCCTAAATTCGTTGAATATTTCTGGATTTTTACTCGTATATTAAAAATAAATAATTAAAATTCAAAATCTTTAAAAAAATTACACTCAAATCCAACCGTTTATGATATTTTAAAGTTTTTGTAGATTTGGAAAAAGTTTGTTTGAATAGTTATACTAAGTTATTCTTTAAAATAGAGGAAAATAGGAAAAAGAATGGATAAATATCTAAATTTAACTAAAAGATCTTTGGCCTAGCAGTATCGTAGCTTTTGGCCTCCTAAGAAGTCATATGTTCAAATCTCACCAAGGGTAAGGAGTGTGTATGAGTTTATTTGTTACATTTGCCGTATATAAATATTATATACTTCAAAAACAATATCTAAATTTAGAAGAGAGAAAATATATGATACGTGTTGGAGATGCTCTTACACCATCTTTCCTGCTCTTTCTACGAGGAAAAAACCTTGCTCAAAATCTTCAAAATATGTATTTTCTCCATTTTAGATAATGTATTGGAGATGGTCTTACAATCAGCCGTATACATCTAGACTCAACAAGTATACTAGATGAAAACAAGTCAAATACAACAACTGTGTCATATATATATATATATATATATRTGTGTGTGTGTGTGTGTGTGTATGTGTGTGTGTGTGTGAAAGTGGCTAGATTTAGACCATTTATTTTTATATATGTTAAAACCTCTCTTCTTTGTTCAAGGCTCTTTTAGAGATTAACCTAATAATGTTCCACATATATCATAACAACTGCCTACCACTCTGGAGACTCGACATATTCAACCAATATGTACTTGTCTAAACCCCTCGACACTTTGGGAGAATCTCCATTATAGGGAGCGTGTTAAAGTACCACATCTGCTAGACTTAGACTATTTATCCTCCGGAGCTTTTTTAAAAAGTAATCTAATGAGATTCTACATATTCTTACGGTACCATTATGATGATCTAATTTGGTGCAATAAAAACAACCCATCTAGATATAAACAAACTACTGAAAACGACACAATAACTCTCACACGCCAACATGTCAAACAACGATAACATCAGATATTATATTATACTATTTTAACAATGGAGTCTGCAACACTCTAACAACGGTTTGTTGTATTTCTTTGAACACAACTCATAATTGCATACTTTTTTGTCAATTGTGTTGAATGACTCATGCCCACCTGCACCTCAAAATCCTATTGTTTTTTCTGTATATACACACAATTTTGCCCCCAGAATCCTGAAGATGAGGTAGATAAGCTTTGTGTCCAAAGACTTTAAAGTGATTCTATTTGGGTGAGAGACATAAAGTGGAAAAGAAATAAAATCAAATCCAAAGTTTGACCACAACCCCCTTGATTTCAGAAAGCAACACATTTCCTTCAAACAACCCACCCCTCCCCTCCCCTCCTTCACCCTATTATATTCTCATCTTTATACATATCATCAAAGTCATCTTTTGCTTTTTTATGATATGTGAAATGGACTTTCAAGCTTTATATAGCAATTAAGATATATAATCACCAACTAGCCTTCTTTCGTTCTGTTGTTTTTTAGTATGTTAAATGTAAGATTTTAAACAGAACCTTCAAAAATTTAGAGTCTAATTTTATGTCAACCTATGTAAAGCCCTTCTTTAGGTTCTGATTGTTATTCCTCCCTTTGTAAGTGCTTAATATATATATGTATATATCTCATCTCATTTTGCCGTTAAAAGTTTTGGGTGTAAAAGGACCTACCAAGGGATGTCCCTCATCAAGGGTGAAACTCAGGTTAAAAAGGGTTGTTTACTACCTATTTATCGTTTCTTATCGACTAGGGGTTTGTTTATTGGCAGCTTAATGAGACTCACAGCTTATTCGGTCAACTATACATGATTGCTTGATAGTGGCTTGATGATTTAAAAATTGGTTTTTTCAGTACGCTTCTAGAAGGGAACTTTATGCATAAGAAGCCAAGTTTTTTTTTTCCAAACGAGTCCCTCCAATTAAAAAAAAATGTTTCTTTCATCTATGAAAAACCCCTTCTAAACAAAAACTTTCTTAATCTATATAGACAGATTAATCCAACAATTTTATCCATACATGACTTGATGAAAAACTAACCAAACAACCTCGAAAAGATGTTTACTCAGTCAAAATACCAAACCCCTGTTGCAATTCTATTATACTGATCTAATAAGCTAAGAAAGGAACTCTCCTCTCTCATTTTAGTCATAGATGGAACATATGATGGATGCATGCGTGCGTGCGTGCCTGTCTAGAGACATACCAAACTGAAATCATGGATAACATGTGAAGAATTTATATATATATATATATATATATATGTGTGTGTAATATATATATATATATATATATATAATATATATACACGCACATCTGGACCCCACAATTAATTATACAAACAAAAGTCATATAACAGAACCTCAAATTCAAGTCTACCCTTCTCATCTCAACCTGTTTTCTGTACTAATAAAAAACATTGTGTCATTCTGAACATAAAATCCAACAAAACAAACCTCCACAAGTTCAAATTTCAACTTTTAAGGTTTTTCTTTTTAAATTTTCTTTCACCCACTACTTGTATTATTACACCTGTGCCATCCCCTCCCCCCAAAACCTTTTCTTTTTCGTTTTACTAAAACTCAAGGACCACCACTTTATTTTATTTCAAACCCTCTTTTTTCTCTCTCTCTCTCTCTCTCTCTCTATATATATATATATATAATATATATGTAATATATAAGGTCAGGTTCACTAAAAAAACCGTAAAAAAAAAAACTGATGAAAACCTTGATAACTATTTATTGGACGATATGTACGTACGCATACAAGTAATTAAAGTTATTTATTGGTTTTTATGCACATGTGTATATCATCACACCTGACAAATTGCTTACAAATTACTTATATACACATGTGTATATCGTCCAGATGAACGATTACCAAGGTGTAGGACCAGTTTTTCATTATTTCATATATGATTCGGCTATTTTCTTAAATAGGTATCATTATTGTATGAACCGAAAATATATATATATATATATATATATATATATATAAAATATCCTATTCTTTTCACTCCTTATTTTGATCCGGGCTTTGCAATTGATCTAGAAAAAAGACAGCCTTTTCTTATTCATTTGCATGCCATGAAGAGAAGCTTTTGTAGACACATAGTTAAAAACACACACACATACATCCTTAATCACTAAATGTAGAGAGAAAAAGAAAGTAAAAGAGAAGAGTTTGAGTGTATTTACCTCAAGAAGATGCTCAAAGATCAGATGAAGGATTTGTTTTGGCTTTTGTTGCTTCTGGGTTTTGCTTTCTTGATTAACAGTCAAGAAGATGATGAAGATGCTCTTAGATTGTTATCTTTCAAGAAATCTTCAGTTGATTCTGATCCAAATGGGTCTTTATCAAATTGGATACCGTCATCATCAGCTTCCGGTCCATGTTCATGGCGAGGGGTCGTTTGTTCGAAAGACAACCGTGTCACCGGCGTTAATCTTACCAATATGTATCTCGCCGGACACCTTAACCTTTCTGATCTTATGGGTATCTCCACTCTTATTGATATCTCTTTCTCCGGCAACTATTTCTCCGGCAACCTTTCTTTTTCGTCTCCGGCGTGTCCCTTTCACAATCTTGATTTATCAAGAAATAACTTCTCTGAAAATCTAGATGTTCAACCTTTATTTCTCACATGTAACGATCTTCTTTCCTTAAGTTTGTCAAAAAACAAACTTTCTGATTCCTCTCTGTTGTCTGTTTCTCTCGGTAACTGCCAGAATATGATCATGCTCAATTTCTCCGGCAACAAGTTGACCGGATATCTTCCAAGCTCTCTCTCTTCTTGCAAGTATCTTACATCTCTAGACCTCTCCAACAACCGGCTTTCCGGCGATATACCCACCGGTTTTCTACCACACACACTTAAGTTTCTTGATCTTTCCGGCAACAACTTCACCGGAAAATTCCAAAATCTTGAGTTCGGGACTTGCCAGAATCTTACAATGATCAATCTGTCGAGAAATGACTTTTCAGGAACTGGGTTTCCAGTGAGTTTGACAAATTGCCAACTTCTAGAGAGATTGGATATCAGCCATAATGGTTTGCATATGAGAATTCCAGGGATCATGTTGGGTGGTTTCAAAAACTTGAAAAGTTTATCTTTAGCTTACAATCAGTTTTTTGGACAGATTCCATCAGAAGCTGGAAATGCTTGTAACACCCTTGAAGAGCTTGATCTTTCCGGCAACCAATTAACCGACCAGCTTCCGACAACATTCCGATCGTGTTCTTCGCTCTTCAGTCTCAATCTCGGTCACAATTACATGTCGGGTGACTTCTTAAGCACGGTTGTAAGTTCGTTATCCAGTTTGAAGTATCTTTCTGTGTCGTTTAACAACATCACTGGGAATTTGCCGATGTCGTTAGCGAATTGTAGTCAGCTTCGAGTTCTCGACTTGAGTTCGAATGACTTTACGGGAAACATACCTCCCGACTTCTGTTCTTCGAGCTCGCCCTTCTCTTCGCTCGAGAAGTTGCTTTTGGCTAATAATTATCTATCAGGATCGGTACCGAATAATCTTGGAAGCTGCAAAAGTTTGCAAACAATTGATGTTAGTTTCAATAGTCTTACTGGTGCCATTCCTTCAGAAATATGGAATCTCCCACAGATTTCTGATGTGGTAATGTGGGCTAATAACCTCACTGGTGAAATCCCAGAAGGGATTTGTGTTAAAGGAGGAAATCTTCAAACTTTGATCCTTAATAACAACCTTATTACAGGAACGATCCCGACGTCGATCGCCAGCTGCACGAATTTGATATGGGTTTCGCTTTCTAACAACAAGCTTAGAGGGCAAATCCCGAAGGGCATCGGGAATCTTGTCAATCTTGCTATTCTTCAATTGGGGAATAATTCGCTTACGGGTGGTGTTCCATTAGGTCTTGGCAAGTGTAGGAGCCTCATTTGGCTTGATTTGAATAGCAATTCGTTGGACGGATCTCTCCCGAAGGAGCTTGCGGATTCCGCTGGGCTTGTTTTCCCGGGACCAGTATCGGGAAAGCAGTTCGCTTTCGTGAGGAATGAGGGCGGGACAGCGTGCAGATTTGCTGGAGGGCTGGTTGAGTTCGAAGGAATACGGAAAGAAAGACTCGAAGGGTTCTTGAATTATCACTTTTGTCCATCGACCCGAATCTATTCGGGTTTGACAATGTATACATATGAGAGTAATGGCAGCATGATCTACCTTGATCTTTCCTACAATTTCTTGACAGGAAGTATTCCTGAAAGTTATGGTTCCTTGAGCTTCTTGCAAGTTTTGAATTTGGGATACAATAATCTTAGTGGTGATATTCCATTCAGTCTTGGTAACTTAAAAACTGCTTTGCTTCTTGATCTCTCACATAATTCTTTACAAGGATTCATCCCGGGATCGTTAGGGGTTCTCTCGTTTCTCAACGACTTCGATGTGTCGAACAACAATCTCACCGGCCCGATCCCTTCAGGCGGGCAGCTCACGACTTTTCCGGCATCCAAATACGAGAACAATACAGGCCTCTGCGGGCTGCCATTGGATCCATGCGGGTCGGGAAACGGACGTGCCGGTCCTAAACATAGAGGGAAGACGACGAATTCTATGGCTACCGGAGTTGTTGTCGGGATATTGGTATCTCTTCTCTGTATCATTATCCTCACATTCTTTCTTTTCAGGATGAAGAGGTATCAAAAGAAGGTGGAAACTCGAGATAAGTATATCGATAGCCTCTCGACGTCCGGAAGCAGCAGCTGGAAATTATCGGGTGTTCCCGAGCCTCTAAGCATTAACATTGCCACCTTTGAGAAACCGCTGAGAAAGTTAACTTTTGGGCATTTGCTCGAAGCTACAAACGGATTCAGTGCCGACACCTTGATCGGTTCCGGAGGATTCGGTGATGTTTACAAGGCACAGTTGAAAGACGGGAGTGTTGTCGCGATCAAGAAGCTTATCCATGTTACCAGTCAGGGAGATAGAGAATTCATGGCGGAAATGGAAACCATCGGCAAGATCAAGCATCGTAACCTAGTGCCTTTGTTGGGGTACTGTAAAATCGGAGAGGAAAGACTACTGGTTTACGAGTACATGAAATGGGGAAGTTTGGAGGCGGTTCTCCATGATCGAGTCAAAGGCGGCGGATGTGTTCCAAGACTTGATTGGGCATCAAGAAAGAAGATAGCCATCGGATCAGCTCGAGGGCTGGCGTTTCTTCATCATAGCTGTATACCGCACATCATCCACCGTGATATGAAGTCCAGCAATGTCCTTCTTGACGAGGATTTCGAAGCCAGAGTCTCGGATTTCGGAATGGCAAGACTCGTAAATGCCCTCGATACTCATCTCAGTGTGAGTACACTTGCCGGAACTCCGGGTTATGTTCCACCAGAATACTACCAGAGTTTCAGGTGCACAGCAAAAGGAGATGTCTATAGCTTTGGGGTTGTACTATTGGAACTTCTATCCGGGAAAAAGCCGATAGATACCTTGGAATTCGGAGATGATAACAATCTTGTTGGATGGGCAAAGCAGCTGCAAAGAGAAAGAAGAATGCATGATATACTGGATCCTGAATTGTTGTTATCAGATAAATCGTGTGAACCTGAACTGTTCCATTGTTTAAAAATCTCGTTTCAGTGTGTCGATGACAAGTCATGGAGGAGGCCAACGATGATTCAAATAATGGCGATGTTCAAAGAGCTGCAGGAAGATTCAGGGAGCGATATTCTTGACGGGATGTCGATGAAAAGTTCGGTAATCGATGAATCTCAAGAGAAAGAGCCTCTGGGTGATCACAGTTGACCTTTTTCTATTAAGATCGTTGAAAGTTTCATTTGGTTTACAAGCCCCGCAAGAACAAGAGCTTATTTCCTATCGATTTCCTGCTGTATATATCAGAATACCAGACGCACGTGGGAGAATGGAGATCGCCAATGTCAAGATCGAAGGCCGTATTATTTTCCATGGGCCATTTTACTCAACATTTGGAATATGTGTTATCTGTTTTCTGTCAAAATTTTGGTAATTCATGAAATGTTGCAATTTGTCCTTTGTAGTTGTTATGTGAATATTGACGTCTGGGATGTTTAAGAATTCAATGAGAGCGTTTCTCAGAATGTATAGTTGCTGTAAAGAATTCACAATTCAGGGGAAACCCCCCAAAAAAATGAAAAATTAAAGACCAACTCATCTGAACGGTATGCATGTATGTATACAAGTAATTGAAGTTGTTTCTTGGTTTTTATGCACATGTGCATACCTCCGGATGAATGGTTACTAGTGTGTTCCTCAGTTTTTCATTTTTTTACATTTTTCTCTTGAATCTGACCCGTATGCACATGCGTATACAAGTAATTAGTAAGCAATTTATTTGGTATGCAAATGTTCATAACTTGCATATGTGTTTAACCAAGAAACAACTTCAATTACTTGTATGCACATGTGCATATCATTCAGATGAATAGTTACCACGGTGTTCTTCGGTTTTTTCATTTTTCTGAGGCTTTTCCCCTATGGTGATAAATCAAAATCTCACATGTGTACGATTCCAATTCACATCAAACACTTTATCTAAATGGGGATTGCAATTTTAAGGAGGAACTGAAATGCTTCATGATGGACTCTTTTAATGCAAACTGCAGAAAAGTGACCATCATCATGACACTCAAGTTCAGCCTCAGCAAAGTCTGTGAATTGGGGGTATAGCAGAATGTAGTCTAAGGGGCTGTTTGGTTGGTTTTTCATTAAGTCTTGTATGGATAAAACTATCTATGTAGATTTATTTGTCTGTATAGATTGGGAAGATTTTTGTTTGAGAGAGTTTTTTCATAGATGCAACGAGCGTGTTTTTTTTAACCGGAGGGACAGGTTCGAAGAAACTTAGCTTCCTGTGTAAAGCTCCCCCTAGAAGCTCACTGAATAAGTCATTTTCTATATCATTAAGTCTCTACCAAACAGTCATGCATAACTGACAGAATAAGTTCCGAGTCCCATTAAGCTCATTAAGCTGCCAACAAACAGGCCCTAACAAAGTGCTATTTTGTTATAAAAATTTACATATTCAGAACTTCTATTGCACTTAAATGTTATAATACATGATCACGATTAAGTAACAAAGTTAGATATGATCTTTTTGGGGGTAACGCATTATATTTGAATCGCTGTTTTCAATCTATTTTACGTGTGTTGGATCCCGAGAAATCTTACTTTAAACATTTACGTCAATACTTTTTAGCCATGTTGTATCATCATTGCACCTTGTTGGATCAGGATGTACTGTCTTTGATTTGAGCTGTCGTTTGATTGATTATATTCTACTTGTAGCACTAGGCCCTTTAATCCTGTTTAGCTAATCATGCTACAGGTTTGACGAAATTTCCTATTGGAACACTGGACCCAATCCCTTTTCCTAAAGGCATCAAGACTACAATTTTAAGATGATATCAGAGATGGAACCAAGCAATTGATGTGTGTAACCATTTTTATTATGTTAAAACATATCACCTGATCCTAAATGTTTATATATATTTAGAGAACCGATTATCATGAAACGCTGCCACAAAAATAACAACTTAAGATTAAAAACCCAGATCCCACACAGATAAACCCAGCCAAAGTGAGAGAACATGTCATTTTTCTCAATTGTCTGGCACTTTTGTAACATCTCGGGCCAACCGTACATTATCTGCTTTGTCCACACAGCTGGACTCACGGTTTTATAACACGTCTAATAGATAAGGTATTCAGTCTCTTATAAGGCAACTTTCGTTCCCCTACCAACCAATGTGGGATCTTACAATCCACCCCCTTGGGATCCCAGCGTCCTCGCTCGCACATTAGTCAGCATTTGTGGCTCTGATACCAAGGGGGTGGATTGTGAGATCCCACATTGGTAGGGGAGGGGAACGAAAGTTGCGTTATAAGGGACTGGATGCCTCCTCTATCAGACATGTTTAAAACCGTGAGTCCAATTGTGTGGACAAAGCGAACAATATCTAGTACGGTTGGCCTGGGATGTTACAACTTCAATCTCAAGTTTCTTTAAGAAACTTACAACTTGTATTATTGTGCAAGGAAGTGAAACATCCAAAAACTAACCTAGTTTCTTGATCAATAGTAATCAAATGTTACTAGAGGCCCAAGGTGTGAACGTTCAGGGAGAATTAAGCAAAATCAAAGGGGGTGTTGGTTGTGGTGGACCAGTGGTGGTGCTGATGATGATTGAGCATCATATTTAAAATCCCTTTAATGCTAGTGGGTTTTGGTCTTTAACTTTTATAGATTTCACCTATGCCAGGAAAGCAATTCAGCCTTTTAGAAAATATCTTTAGGTTATAACCAAACAATTTTCTTTGAAAAATTCTAATCATAAGTATCAATTTTTCAAGATAATTACAGAATGGAAGAAAACTTTAAAGCATATAAAGGGTAAGTTGACTTTTTAGTGACACTTTTGTTCAAGTTTTGGAATAAGGAATTCTAAAAGAGACTAAGGGGTTGTTTGGTTGGTTTTCCATCAAAACCTATATAAATAAAGGTGTCTATGTGGATTAATTTGTCTTGGGGAAGTTTTATTTGGGAGGGTTTTTTCATAGATGGAATGAACATGTTTATTAATTGGAAGGGGCAGATTTGGAAAAGAACTTGCTTTCTGCATAAAGCTCCCCCTAGAAGCTTACTGAATAAGCCACTTTCTATATCATTAAGCCACTACCAAACAGTCATGTAATGTATAGCTGACTGAATAAGCACTAAGCAGCGAGTCCCATTAAGCTCGTTAAGCTGCTAACAAACATACCCTAAAAGAGAGGTTGGCATGCTCTGTTGCACCAAAAGCAGGCCTGATTTTTCGGCCTCGACTGTTTGGCATGAGCTGAAGCCCACAAAGCATCTCTCTTTCTCATGTCCAACCAGAGCAATAGATTAGACAATAAACTAGTCAAACCATCTTTTTGACCACGTAGATCCGAAGAATAAAACAGGAGAAAAGATTGTATCACTTCAGGATGTAAAGTGAAAATAGGAATTAAAGACTAATATAGTGCATGGGTGAGTAGGACATGTTCAAGACTTCCTTTCTCAAATTTGTTTTAGTTTTGCAATCAATATTTAGTAGTTGTACTCATAGCTGTTAAAAGTGCGCCTGAGGCACGCCTAGGCTCATAAGGCTCAAGGTTTTGGGCTTTTTTAAAGTCGAGGTTAGGCGTATTCAAGAGGCTCACTAAGGCCCTGCGCCTTGGCTGAGGCACCTAGTGGGCCAAGGCGCGGCTCATAAAGAGTTATTTAATACCAAGTCAAACCTTAATATTAAATAAGTTCTCTCATCTTCTAGACATCTTAAAAGAAGAGTTATTAAATAGATGACACAAGTCAAACCCTAATATTAAATACCCGGTCCTTATAACTTCAAGCCTCTTTCTCTATAAACCCGGTTCTTATAACTTCAAGCCTCTTTCTCTACAAACCCGGTTCTTATAACTTCAAGCCTTTTTATCTATAAATACCCAGGCCTTAAAACTTATCCCCCATGGCTCACGCTTTAAACCCTTCTCCCTTCTCCCTTTGCCTCTATCGAAGTATTGTTGGTTGCTACACTGGAGGCTTGTACTTGCTACATATTTGAGTTGTGAGTAACTGTATGTGTGTGTGTATATATATATATATATATATAATTTATATAAGATGCACCTCACATTCCTGAGGCCAGCTCGCACCTAGGCCTCGGGATCCCTTTGCGCCTAAGTGAGCCTTGAGCCTTTAACAGCTTTGGTTGTACTCCCAATATGGAGATTCTAAACATTATTAAACAGGTGCTAAAAGTTAGCGCAATCTTTAGAGTACTCGGCTTATTAAAACTACGCAATAAGTACACCAGCTATAAATACAGTGCAATCATTATCGCACATGTTAGAAAAGACTCCGAACAAGAACACACATAGGCAATGTCTAAATGCACCAGCACCTTGGACACAGAAAGGGGCAGTGTAACAAAGTAATCAATTTATTTCTTCGTGGTCCATACCAGTAATTGTCCATGAACAAAAGTATGTATGTACGTAATTAAACTCATACCAGTTTTTTGAAAGAAACCATTTGTTTATTTGCAAAATAAGCATCTTCATTATCACTTCTTACTTGCTCTGTTTCCCTTCTAGACACACCTGAAAAGAGTAATACAGATTTAGACAATATTGTCATTATATTGCAAAGAGTTACATCTTTCTCGGAATATAATGCACATAAGATCATCGACTAAGCTCAAATTCAAGGTCCCTTTTTATCCTATATATGCTCGGACTGCAAAGAACTTTTCATCCCTACTAGTTTCAAGGTGAAGGCATAAGAAGTGGGAAGTCATGCTAGCTATTGCCCCGAACATTTTTTAAAAATTATTGCAGGTGTATGCAGTATACCTTTCTATAGGACCAGGGGTGGACCTATCTAGCAACCCGCCAACCTGGGTATGCACACCAAAAAGTATTTTGATTAAGTTGTGTTCTGTAAAAAAATAACAGATTTAGTGCATACATTTTTTTTTGATTAACTTGGATATCCAACCACCTGTTTTGAGGGTAGCCTGGAGTCACCGCATTTGAACCTCCGTGGCCACAAGGGGATTTTTATTCCTCCTTGGATTTGAACCTGGGACCTCCAGGCACTTTTGACCTTTGGATCCCAAGCTCAAACCAATCAGGCACCACCCTTGTGGTTATAAAAAAATTATAAAAATATACTATGATATGTGATATGTTAGGTCAAACGTTACACACGCAATACGCACAACCCAAAAAACAAGAGAAGAACACAAGAATTTACGTGGTTCACACAATCAGATTGATCGTGCTAGTCCACGGGGGCAACTAGGGTTTTCTTTATTTAGGTGCTACAACGTTTACAAGTACAATGAGATTAAATATATAGACAAACATAATTAGGGTKATCTCCTAATCAAGGAAACTAGGGTAGAGACTAGGGCCGGCTCCTTTTGGGCTAGGGCCGGCTCCTTNATCAGATTGATCGTGCTAGTCCACGGGGGCAACTAGGGTTTTCTTTATTTAGGTGCTACAACGTTTACAAGTACAATGAGATTAAATATATAGACAAACATAATTAGGGTGA